GCCAGGCAGGGAGGGCTGGTCGGGTAGATGAGGGTTTAGGGGCCTTGGGGGGTAGCTACTTTGCGGTTGATACAAAGCGGCTCGGGTTCAGGGGTCTGTCGGGTATCAAAGAGCTTTTGGTGTTCTGGTTTAGTCTCGCTCCTGGGCTTCCGGGAGCCCAAAGGTTGCTCCAGAGGTGTGTTGGCTTGTTTGAAGGCCCGGCCCGGAGCTTCATGAAGGTTTTGGGGGTTCGTAGGCTTGGGGCCGTGCCGGAACGCAGGATCGGAAGCATCAGCTGGTAGTCTTTGCAGGTCTGAGGCCAGGATGATTCTTACGAGCGACGCCATAGAAAGTAGCGAGACGCTGTACACCAGAAAGCCGAAACCTTTCACATCCGGAAAGGATGGAGGTCCTGAGACAGCCAGAGCGAACCCAAAGCCCCTAAGCAGCACCGGGACGGACACGTTTGAGACCTGAGAGCAGGCCTTCTGGTCCCGCATCCTCGGTGTTTTCCAGGATCTAGGCCTGGAGCTGCAGAGAGCGTCAGGATGCGTCAGGATTGGGATCGAAAGTGCGAGCATGGCCCAAAGGACCCAAAGGAAAGCCCGATTCCAACAAGCACATGCCCAAACCCTGCTAGATTCATTCTAGAGGCGTCTCCAGGGGTGTAGAAGTCAACAGAACTGCGTTCGGATTGGTCTCGGATTCGTCCGTTGCCCCGACTGTGGATTTGAGAGTTCCGGGATGTATGGTTTTGGGTTCACTATAAGTAGCGTAAGTCTAGCCATCCCCCCTGATACCTAAACTATAAGCCCTAAACCAACAATTAATTGCAGCTTGACCTCGGCGTTGCCAGACATGTTTTCAGTCCATGCAGAGGTGTCGAAGCCCGGGGGCACATCTAATCCTGCAGCTACTTCTGGGGAGTTTCCGCCCGCCCCAGAATCTGGCAGACCCTGGGTTTCCAACGCGCAAGCCACGAAACAACGCTCTCCTGAAACGATCCCAAGTTGCCCTAAACCCAGTGTCCGAGTGTGAGCGCCGAAACCTAAACCCTGAACCCGAACCCTAAGCCCTGAACCTCATGTGCAGGTCTGCCGGCCTCAGCAGTTAAAGACACAGCACCCGATGGGGCCTCGGATTCACGCCTAGCTCCTGAGGGTTTTCGGATTGGAGGATTTTGGGATCAATCACACATGCCCAGTCCTTGCAGCAGGTACATGACATGAGCAAGCCCCGGTAGACAAAGGGTTTCGCCTGACGCAGAGTGAAGGTTCAGGGCTGACCGTTCAGGGACTGGGGGGTTTAGAGGGCTTGGGAGCTTGGAATTGAATAGGGCTTATGTTTGGGGGTTGGAGCGTGTACGGTTGCCCCGCAAAGAGAAGAGCCTGAAGATCTAGGCTGTTGAAAACTCGACACTCCAAATGAAGCCCCGAAGCCTTCGACCCTTTGCGCACTTGCTTGTGTCTTGTTGCTGGCCTTACATGACCGAACCCTGTACTTGGTGATACGTGCTGAGTGCAGTCCTTTGCTTCTGAGACCAGTTTCGCTACAGACCTTGCCAGGCTTGTCCGAGATGTGAGAGCGTAAACCATAAAGTTGGCATGCTTGCATGTCTGGATGTCGTGATGTCCGGAACTGTTACGGTCGAGCAGCCCGCAGCTACACTGGTCATGGGATCTTTGGGATGTAGGTTCGGTTGCCCTGGTGTGGGACTGCTGTCAGACGGGCTACTGTATCGGGTGAGTACTTGTGGCTGTCGTGTCTTTTGCCCTGCCTGACAGTGATGCCTACGCAATGAAACGACTGAGTAGGTGGTTCAAGAGTCTCGTTCGATCAGTATCGCTACAGACCTTGCCAGGCTTGTCCGAGTTGTGAGTGTCAACAAAGCCCCAAAGCCCCGAACTTAAGAAATCCTTTCCACGAAGGTCTGGCACTTCAAGACCCCCTGGGCCGACTCTCTCTGCTGGTCAGGGGGGTTGTCCGAGGCCCCTGTTCTTTGACCGTGCCCTTCTTGGGGTGGGTGGCTTTGTTTTGTTTGCTTTCCTGCGTCTGTATGGGGATTCAGAAGGCTTTTGGGGAGTTCAGACAGCAGCTTCTCGGGTCTTCGGGTGTCAGGTTTGAGGTTCTTGAAAAAAAGAGAGTTGCGGTTCCTACAAGAGACAGAGAGTTTAGGCTTTGAAGGCATGCGTGCCGTGTATGTGATGCGGGAATTGCGCTCATGCGATTTCGTTTGGTTTTGCGAAGGCATTGAAGGTTCTTGGACAGTGGCTTCTGAAGAGCTGTCGTTTGAATTTTGCACCTCAGCCCAAATATCTTAAACCTTCAACCGATGCTGCAGGTTTCCATGCGCCCCCACCACCCAACCCCCTCGGAGTGAGAAGAAGGCCTGTAAAACATCTGCACGGCCAAGCAGGTTTCTCAACCGCTGAGTTCCGAAGCCTTGCCTGCAGGTGTGCGGAGTCCGAGCATTAGTAATCCTAGGTAGTATTAGGGAGACCCCTTGAAGGGGACCCTTCTTTCCCCTGCTTATGGCTCTCTTAAAACGGACCTTACTGAAAGGGTCTATATCCCCAAGGGTCCCCTTAATCCTAACTCCGAAGTACATAACGGACCTTAGCCCTAAACCCTAGGCGAGAAGATCTGAGCACCCGACCACCACCAAGCGACCTCATCTGACAAGTCCCAGGTGTGACAGCCTACTTAATACAGGGGCCTTAACAATTAGAATAGGGTTCGGGGTATACTATAGTACAGTATAATTATAAGAAGGAGCCCCCCAAAAAACCCTATTCTAATTATAAAGGCCCCTACATTATAATTAGCCCAGAGAGCCCAATACCCCTTAATTAAGGAATATACCTTAAATCATAATATTAAGGCCCCTATAGTTTAAGGTATATTCCTTAATTAAGGGGTATTGGGCTCTCTGGGAGGGACTCTTGAAGGTGCGTTGCTGCGACCCCGCCTTCGGAACGGTTGGAGCGCCCGGCCATCGGGCAGAATTTGACGTAGTGTTTGGGTTTCCGTGTTTTGGCTTTGCCGGGGTCTGCTAGCAATAGAATCTGTTATTATGAATACTCATATGGCACTTCGGCGACTTCGGGTTGATCATTTGATTTCCACCTATAGGAGTTTCAGCCATCTGACTAACCCTAGCCTGCGCTGAGGCAGCCAATCCTCCAGTCCTTAAAATCCTTAAAACCCTCAACAGTTTCTCCAACTCGTGTCGGCCCTTAAGCTGAGCATGTCCTAAATCCTGACACCATAAAATCCTGACACGATACAGCCGTCTATCACTCCATTGTCAATCCCCTATAGGTTAAGACAGGTAGGCATCAACAAAAACCAGCACAGAATAGAAACCAAGGCTGCTTTGATGATTTCTGGACCTTCCATCGCTGCCCGGCAGTAGGAGTTGATTGGTGGTTGGAAGGGGCTTGGCCGGGTTGGTTCAGCGACTTAGATGCAAAATCGGTGCGACAGAGAGATTTTAGGATTGGGCTTTATCGGCGCGGTTTTGTACCCCTGGCAATACTATCATGTCCATGTGACTATGTAGGATCATGAAGATTGTTCTGGCTCCAACTGTTGCGAGGGTTTTGATTGCCCAGGGCTCCCGACTTTTAATGTAATGCTGTAGCAAGAGTATTAGGTCTAGACTTGTTACAGGCCGTTTTATCAGTAGGTGTTGTTAGCTTGTCCTTCTATCTTTGTACTGAGGCTGCCTTTTTCTGTGCCGCTGCAGCGATGGTGCGGCTGATGCTTTTGATGGTGAGGGTCAAAGTGGTGTATCATGAAGGCAACGAGACCTCGGATGAGTTTTGGTTCTTGTGTCGTTTGGGCATCGGAGCTTGCGGCGTCAGGTGTGCTGGCGACCTATGCAAACTGTTGATTGGACATCTGAGGTTTCATGATAAGTATGGCCGCCTCCAACCTGAGGACAGCTTCCCTTCAGTGCACCGTGTAATGCTAGTGTAAGAGCCCCGCTCAACATGATTGGTCCATGATGCCTGGAAGTCCTCGGCTACATGTCGTAGCTAGGATGCTGTGGCACTTCGGCCACCCTGGAAGGCGTAGCGTCTCGCCCGAAACCCTTCACATTACTTTTGCGAACCTCAAGCCTGTAACCATGAACTCGATACCTACACCCAGGCTGTTGCGTGCAGAGCGTGTCGTTCCCACCACTGGACGATGCAGCTTGTGGCAGTGGCAGCTCGGATGGCACACAAGCTTGTTGTAGGTTCGGGGTGGGGCAGTCTTTTAGATTACACTATGGAATATATTACAGTACATTATATTACGAATGTTATACGCTAGTATCGTTATACTATACTTTACTACGTCTTACTACAGTAGGCTTTCTACACAGCCCTAGCCCAGGTTGCGGGCTTGGGAGTGCGGAAGTAGGTTGTGGTGTACATGTACACCCAAAACCCTCCCAATCCCGCAACCTGGGCTAGGGCTCTTTCGACCTCTCTTGGTGGCGTCTTAACCTCAAGTCTCCCTTGAGGTGCCATTTACAGTATAATGATATGATGGTATCATATATCTATAGTTAAAATATTCAGGGCATAGAGAAGCTGCCTTTCGCTTTGCGGCCTCCGCCTCCCGAGTGGCACAAACCCTGCAGTCTATCTTACAGCTTATGACTCCCAAGAACTCATCGGGCGAAGCCGCTAGGTCGGGAGGCAGTGGTAGAAAGCCTTCACCCACCAGGCGGGCCCTACGGCACGACGCTGGTCTCTCCACTTGATGGCCCTCCATGGGTTCAGGACCACTGCCCTTTCGCGCTCCCTCCTGCTTTGAGGTTGCAGTTGGGCTGTTTTGTGAACTTGAGGGAGGTGGGGAAGGGGGGGTCAACATAGCTTGCGGCTGGCAGTTTTCAATCTTGAGCGTTGTGCATGTCCTGGACCAAGATTTTGCCTTGGCATGGCGCCGGCTCAAGCCATTTAGGGACTCTGTGCACACCACGCGGCTGCTTCCTGGAGACTTTTGTCGTAGGCATCATGCCCGAGACGATGGAGATCAGCGATGCCGCCAAGTCTGGCGACGGAACCACGACCAATGTGGGCATCAAGATGACGGGCACGTTCCAATGCCCAGAATGCCGCCAGAAGTTTGACTCCGAGAAGGCGAAGCAGCTGCACTGGAAGTTCATCCATGACCCAAACAGACATCAGGAGGACTGAGCGCACAGACCCCTGAACAGCTCCGACAGAACTCTTTGAAGCTGTCGAAGTTTTGGCTTTTGGTCCTCCCTTTTTTTGAGGTGCACACCTTTCGAAAGGTATGGCTCCGGGCTCTTGCAAAAGTGTCCACGGATCATCCGTTGATAGACTGTGGTGCCGACGTCCAGGCAGGCTCTCGGAGCTCGTGAAGAAGCGAGTGTGGAAAGATCGATGTGCCTTTGCTGCTTTTGTCCGTCCCACCCGAAAACCCAGCAGAGAGACCCCACCTTGCAAGCCATCCGAGGGCAGAAGGAGCAGGACCAAGCTCCTCAAGCAGATCTGGGAAGCCAAACCCCTCTTTGCTCCAAAAGTGCTCTACCCTGGCTGTTTGCCTCCAACCTCCGAGTCCTCTACTCACGGTCGCCGATGCACAGGACGTGCCCAGCCAAGAGGAGCCTTTCGTCTTCATCTGGGATGCCGCTGGCTCGCACTTTGACTCTACTTCGACATGAGACGTGGGTTTACGCTCCGGGATGTAGGGTTCCATAGTTTGGGGCTACGGCCAGGGTAGCGGATTTAGGGCTGAGGGAACAGGGTTTCATTCATAGTTGAGGGCACGGTGAGCTGCAAGTCAAACCCGAATGCAGAACCATGAACAAGAGCGTATTGTGGGGAAGCCCCGCTCACAAAAAGTAATCCTGGCCCCTGGCCCGTGTAGCTCTGGCTCAAATACCTGAAGGTCACAGCTCACGTGGCATTGTGTTACAAAGACATCACTCTCCCAAAGCCGGACTGCCTCCTAGCTCAACATGCTGGCACGAGGAAGGTTCATAGTGCCACGGAGCCATACAAGCCCACGGGGATGAGGTGCTTGTGTAAACAGGCTTTTCTGCAGGGCATTCTCGTGAAGTCTCCACGACTTTACTCGACTGTACTGCACCTTATGTCTAGGTTTCTCATGCACGAGTAATTAGAGGTTATGACCAATGGTGAGCAGACGATATCTTCGCGAATGTGTGGCGTGGGTGACACTGCTGCAAAATGTGGTTGTTCTCCAAGCACTGGAGATGCTGTTTTCAGGCCCCGGGTATTCGCACACCTATCGCAACACGTGGATGGGCTGGTACAGTGCTGGTGGCTACATCATGGACTCCGCTGGGGTCATGCTGTCGGGGCGTGATGGCAAGACCCCCGCCTACGACACTGCAGGCTTGGTCGGAGTACGCTTCGAGGACACGGCCGGTGGATTCATTGAGTTTCAGCTTTTCGAGAGATTCCGTGGAAGGTCGCTGTTGAGCATTGTCAATGAGTGCATGGGAAGTGATCGAGAGAACGATGGCTCTGCAGTTTGGCAGTCCGGGCACTGCAAGGTCGGGAAGGCTGCAAGCACCTTTGGAATCGCTGGGGCATCGCAGGAGATGGTGATCGGCTATGCTGGCTCTCATGTAGAGCCACTGAACTGGGTTCTCTTCAAAGTACAGGAGAGCTCAGCGGGCAGAGGGCTACCTTTTGCATACGGCACGCAAAACAGCACCAATCCAGGCTTTGCTGGCCGCGTGTACATCTACGGAGTGCAGTATGCAGTAGAACGGGCGGGCATTTGGAAGTCGGTCACGCGGCCCTGTCAATTGGACGAAGATGGCTGTGTGACGAGCCACAACTTTCCAAGGTTTTACGGGGCGCAAGAGCACTGCAGCATCGAAATTGAGAAGTCTTTGGCAGGCCCTCTAAACTTGACAGATTTCGACACGGAGAACAATCACGATTTCCTCACGGTGAATGGCAAGGCCTACAGCGGCTCAGCCGGACCACAAGGCATTGTTCCTCTGGAATCCATCGTGTGGAGGTCTGACAATTCGGTCTCCAAAAGAGGCTGGCGGTTGTGCCCGCCGCCCATCAGGAGGAAGGAGGCTGACGCCCGGGCTGAGTCACCCAGTGGCTTTCGTGTTTTTCTGCCTGTGATACTTTTAGCCATGGTATCCTTGATGTGCTACTTCGGCCCCACGATGCGACAGAGCTGGCGAAAGTGGCACGCTCATCGACTGCGATTTCGAAATGATGTGGACGAGGAAGGTGTTTGTGGTGATTTTGCAGTTGACACGATGGAAATGAGCTTGGACCAAGCACAGCAGGCACAGTTGCTCAGGCCTTCATAAGGCCAGCTTCCTACCTGAGCTGCCATGAATCCCCTTTGGATCGGCACTTATGCTTGAGGTCTAGGCTAGTTTGTCATGAGTGGGTCGGATACCGGGTGGCGCCTGGCGTGGGCTTCTTGAGTAGCTCATATGACTGCCATCGGCGGCCTCTGATGAGTCTTTTTCACGTTGCAGAATGGCAGTGCGATCCTTGCCTGGGCTCGTCCGGGTCTGAGCGTCAAAAGGCACGGTCGAGTGTTGGGCCCCCCCCGAACGCCGGGCTGGCGACGCAAGGCTTTGTAGAATATGGGTGAGTGTAAGAGATCCTTGTGTCCTTCCCGCAATATGCAGGAGCCTTTAGACTTTAAACTCTATTCGACAACTGACAATTGAAGTGATTCCCAGTACCAGGAAATGACGCCTCAAAAGGTTCTCCATCAAAGGTTGATGCAGAAGCGAACGATGTCAAGAATCCCTGTAGCTCGTTCGCCGACAGGCACGCGCACCCACACTCAACGGCCAAGGCCTGCCCTCGTTACTGTAGCGCCTGCAGTCGACGATGCTAGCCCTTCGCGCAGGGCCACAGCAACTTGAAAGATTGTTCCTCATCGGTTCGTCGCACGAGTTGAATTGAAAGATCCTAAACCCCCCCCAATTCTGAACACAGCTAGTCGAAGTCCTGCTGCTCTCGCTCTCCTCGTGGCTGCTTTCAAGGAGAAGTCTGGTGGCACGGCCTTCATGCAGTGGCTCAAGTACTCCGCGAGACCCTGAGTAAAGGTCTCGAGGTTCTAAACGGTACAGTTAAGCACCCGAGCCCGAAAGCTCTACACCCCCCAGTCCAAACCCAAACACTTCTTCACTAAACGCGGAAGGCAACGAACGACAACCTTCAAGCTTCACGCAAAATGGGAGTTGTATATCTAGGACCCGACAAGGGGTCCTGAACCGCAGGGTCCTTATTATAGCAAAGCCTACGCCGCTGAGCGTGCGATCTTTTCCTTGGATTGTCATCTTCATTGTCCGCAGGGTCGCCAAATTCGGCTTTGCAGTTGCTAGGTGGTTGACAGATATTTCCTGCCTTGCATTGCTGGTCTCATGGGCTGTTGCTTATAGCATCTTATAGCTGTCTGCGTGTAGTTCGTTCGAGCAACATGAGTTAGCAACGGTTCGTTTTCGCCCTCCACGAGCTTCCCCGGTGAGGTCTGGAAGCTGGGCAAGCTCGAGTCTTCTTTCATGCCGCCAAGCTGTGTTTGGTTTAGGGTTTAGGGTTTAACTCAAGGTTCACGGTTTCGAGTTGGGGTTGGGGGTTTGTGCTGCAGGCAGCCGAGGCAGTCGTGGGCTTGTTTCTGGATGAAGGCATGGGATTCAACATGGTAGGCTAGGTCTTGCCCCATGCGGAGCGTCGTTTTTTGCTGTACATGCCTTCCAGCTTATAGGCTACTGCATGCCAAGGCCCTCTGCTAATCCTTTCCCAGGCAACTTCGTAGAACCTTTAGAAGCCCTTTCGCTTCTGGGTCGCTTCTGGGGATGATAATGATAACAATTCTGAACACTCATGACCACCACTGCGGAGCCTCATTGTTCGTGGTTTCATGGACCTCACCCTAGCCGTAGGACCTGAAACCACAAACCGAAACCTGGACTTTGGGCCTTTTCCCTGGAGCTTATGCCAATCCTGATAAGGTACACAATGCCAGGCCACCCCGTCGCTGCCGAGCACTCAGCCATCGCACACGTAAGCTCTAGGACACGGGACTTGGAATCTACAGTAGGAATCGACGACGGAGATTGAACAAAAGGCGTTCATGTTGTTTTTCCGGGGTCGAGAAAAGACTTCCATCAAGCCCCACGCCCTTGTTTACAATCCTTGTTAGGGGCCTACATGCTCAGTAACCGTTTTCCTCGGGGTTCCCTATCGTAGCTTTAGAGTCTACACCCCAAACTCTTTAATCGAATAGCCGCTTCACTCTTTGGGGGGCCACGAGGGCACCAAGAAGTCGACACCACCCAACGGCTTTAGCCCCAAGTCGTCGGCTCCCACAAAATCCAAAAGCAGTTTTATGAATTTTCCGACGAGGTTCCTTAACGGGGCCCAAAGCCTGGACCTAAACCTTGGCTTGACAGTTAGATGCCAGGAATGAGCCTCGCAACTAAGGGTCCTGTAGGGGGCTCTTAACAGGAGTTTGTAGAGGCAGCACCTCTGAACAGCGCAGCAAATGTCTCCTTTGTGGTAGGGTGCACCTGGCTTTGACGACTGTTGCTTTTTGGTCAGTTTGTTTGGGTTACCGTCGACCCGTGCTGAGTGCACATCCTGAACCCCTAAATCCAACAAAAAATCTCATTGGCCCCCTTCAAACCCTTTGAAACCTCTAAACCCTGAACTCTAAACCCTGAACAGACCTTCGTCGGCCCTGCCAGCCTTGTGCGAGTGTGTGAGTCGAAACCCTGCACCCCGAACCCTAAACCCTTTCATCAGCCATGCCAGCCTTGTGCGAGTGTGTGAGTCGAAACCCTGAACCCCGAACCCTAAACCCTAGACCCTAAACCCTAAACCCTATGGGGCTCTCCAGCTACTAACCATGCAGTTGGAAACAGGTGTCAAAAACCCTAAACCCTGAACCCTAGCCCCTTTAGGTGGGAAGCCCCTTCTACCTCAAGACCGCGGGGCCGGAGGCGATAGCAAGGCAAGAGCCTCGGATGTAAGGATCGTTGGGGGAGTTGTGGAGCTTAGGGCTTCAGGGGTTTAGAGGGCTTGCGCGGTTTAGGGCTTAGGGTTTTCGGGTCTAGGGCTTGAGGGTTTGAGGGTTTTGGGTTCCGGGGTGTGTGTTTAGGGTATTCAGGGCTGAAGACTTAGGAGCATAGGGTGTAGTAGGGATTTTGCAGGGCGTGGGAATGCGTGGGAGTTTCTGGGGGATAGGGTAGCTCGCAGCTGTGGCTTCAGTTCAGGATGCGATGTTTAGGGGGTGTTGTTGGGCTCAGGTCTCAGGATTCAGAGTAGGGGGAAGTGTGTAGTTGTGGTGCGCTGGGAGTGTCTGACCGGCCAAGCTAAGAAGGCTGGTCTCTTTTCGTGGGGTCTGCGCAGTGCGAATCTTTTTGGCTCCTAAACCCTAAACGTTGTGGATGTTGCCTGAGCGTGGCAACATCGAAGTCATCTCAGCGCTAAAGGTGTTTCGTTGTAGTTGTAGAATGTTGCAGGAGCTTGCCCGAAACCATCTGCTGGCCGAGTACGCGAGAGTGGGCTCGTCTTATCGCCAACACAAGGTATGTACATCTGGCAGTCTGCGGCAAGAAATTTGTCCAGGTTCAAGAAGCAGCTTCCGGAAGTTAAGACCGTCCTGGCGGAATTTTGGTTTGGGTTCTTCGCCTTGAACGACCCTCATCCTAAATTGAACTTCTTACCGGCAGGTTCGAAGTGGTATCTGGACACTTCGACTGGCCGCTGGGCTGCACACATACCGCGCCTTTTGGGCGCGCGCATGGAGCCTTGGGTGCGGGTCACTGTTGGTAGATGGTGTATTGGTACAGAAGCTGTGACTTGATTTGAACTGTGTGGCTTGCACATGTCTGCTAGAAAAAGGAGTTTTGCTTGGAGGGAACTGTTTCTAGTATTGTAAGCTTCGCTGCACATGATGCCTGCCGGCAAGGAGCCTCGCAGGTATGGTGCGGTGTTTATGTCCAATGTAATGTGCGTTGCTGCCCTCTGTGTGTGCGTGCGCCTTCGGCTACGCCCAAACCCTGAGCCTTTAATGCGAATCTATTTGTGGCAGGCTGCTTTGGATTAGTGATCAGAGCTTTGTGAACCAAGCAAAGAAGAATGACAGGAAGGCGAAGCCAAGAAGAGCGATCCATTCGTTCTACAGGATGCAAAGCTAAATTTGCTGTTTGGGAAACCTCACCAACTGTCAGAACTGGCAGGGTTCCTCCACCGAGGCCTTCCCCCTACAGCCCTCACAACCGAAACCTTCTTGGTCGGAAGATGCTAAAGCTGAATCCCTTCGAGAGTTTCCGAAAATACGGAGGTACCTTATTTTGGGGTCCTTATAATAAGGATCCTACTATTTGGGGTACTACATTAGGGTCCCCTCTTCACCCTCTTCGCCCTTCCCCGAGGCGTGTGATGCATGAGGGAGTCGACTGCCCGAGCCGAAAGAAGGCCAGGCAGCCATGAGGGTATCTGGGCTCTTGCAGGATCTTTCAGGGTTAATAACGGGTGTATGAGCATTGGGCCTAGTCTAGGGCAGAGTCAAGGGTGAATGATGAAAAGCACTTAGTTTTTCGCGTGCAGGACAGAAGTGACAAACGTCGTGTCAGAAGGTGTCATCAACACCTTCAGGCTAGCGTTTTAAGTTCGTTGGGGCCATCAAAAAAGAGCCATCTGACTACTTGTATTGTAAGCTATCAAGTCGAAGCTAACTGGACCAGCTTGGGACGGTTTGTCGCCAGGAATGAGGGTGGAATGCTCAGACCCCTGCGTCCTCAAATCCCTTGCTTTTAAAAAAACGTAGCTGATGTAATTTGTGAGTTCCGAACGCAGGCTTCAAGAGTTGTGAGCGCAGCTCTCGTATTCAGGTCCGTTGCTTCCTGCTCGTGCGGGATCCCATCGAGCGCTTTCTGTCCTACTACCGCGAGCGCACTGCCGGTGCCCCAGCGCGATTCCTGGAGGATCCTGGTTGGCGTAGGTCCCGCCCAAACTCCCAAAGGGTCCTATGTACTGTTATGGTGGATACTTCCCTAAGTCATAATAATAATTCCTAATATAGAAACCCTACATTCTACTGTATAGGTACACAGGACCCTTTGGGACTTGCAAAAGAATGCTTTCGCATACTGGGCCGAAAAGTTTAGCAGTAGGTCCTCGTTGTCGTGGCTGTGGTGCTTGTACCTGTGGTCGTAACTACTAGTCTAGTGACCCGACTCTTACTTTTAGTCCAACATCCCCTATCCCTATTCATAGTCCTGGACGTTGTAGCCGTAGTTAGTTCGTCAATCAGTCAGCGAGTCGGTTAGTTAGTCAGTCATTGAGCAAGCTAGCCAGCTAGCATGCCACCAATCAACCAAGGTAGGTAGGCAGGTGGGTAGGTAGAGAGGGAGAATAAGGAAACAGGAACATAGAAAAGCAAAAAGTAAAGTAGGGCAATAGAGAGGTGAAGCAGTCGAGAGGTGGGTCAGGCTGGAAGCTAGGTAGGTGGGTGGGTTGGTAGATAGTACTGGTAGTTACTAGTGGTACTAGTACAGTTGTGCCGTAGCGGCACCCACGGAACAGTCTTCGTCTTTCGCCGTGGTTTTGTTTACTCGTTGTTCCCTTTACGCGCAAATGCCGGTGCCAGCAAGGTATATGTGGTGGCACCAGTAGCCGTAGTTGTAGTAGCTCCGGTGGTGATGCTTCTCGCAGTTTGAGGAGGAGGCTATCCGACCGATAAACACCACTTACTGTCAAGCATCTGTGAACCGAACCAGCACAAATCAGGACGGGCGCTTTGCTCGAGGATTGGGCCGTGGGCCTTCAGGTGCAAGCCTTCAGCTGGATGTTTGAACCGCCCTCTGCTTAATTTTTGGCTGGACAGTTGTCGGAATCAAAAGAGTAGCCCTCTACGATACTGCACTTAAGCCTTTAGCCACCGTTACATGGATGAGGAGACATTGCGTCTTTCTCTTGCCTTCTTGTACAGTGGACACATTTCTGCTCAGCCCTGAACTTCGGACGCTAGCTGAAAAGAGCGAGCCTCTTATGAGTCCCGGTAGAATCCTGCAAGGTCCTGCAGAAGCCATGTGTGTGTGTGGGAGCAGCCTGCTATTTCCTGATAGTTTTTTAGTTGCACACCTAATCATCCTTATGAGGGTCATTCATCTCCCGAGTCCAACCTCATCATTACTATGATCACTATCATGTGCCCCTCATCAGACCCCCAAAGCCCCATGCTAACGATCAAGGCCCCTTTACATTGCAATCTTGTAGTATAAATTTAGTATATTATACTATCGTATGCTATACTCTGCTTCATAATATATATATGTATGTATGTATATGTATGTATGTATGTATGTATGTATGTATGTATGTACGTATATATATACCTACATATACACACACACATCCATCCATCCATGCATGCATGCATGCATGCATGCATGCATGCATGCATGCATGCATACACGCACACACACAGATAGATAGATAGATATATATATATATACTGGTGTTACTATAATATACTACTCTACTATACAACAATATAAGGACGCGGCGTTTGCTTGGGGAGATCGTGAGAGGCTGGAGCGCTCCGGCCTGGCGTCGCTACCTGCGCCGCTTTGAAAGAATAAGTCGGGTAGGAGTTGGGGTTTAGGAGTTTTGGGGGTTAAGTTTTTTTTTCTGATTCTTAGGGCTTTTAGGGTGTATTGAGGGTTGAGGAGGTTAAAGGGTGTTTAGGGGCTAGCTGTAGAGCTTAAGACTTTTGGGATTTGGGTTGTGGGGCTGTCCTGGCACAGAAGACAGTTGATGGCTGGTGTTCATTTGTGTACAGTTGGAGTATGCTCGCGTCTGAGGTCATAGGTCATTGAAAGCATCAGTCTTAGCGTCGTGTTGACAGCATATGCGTCCGGGATCCGCATTCTCGACCTCCTTCCTGTTTGCCCGGAACCAAAGTTTCTGTACATGGGCGAGGAACCATTCTGGAACCGTAAGTGGACGGGAAGCTTCAATCACAGGAGCCTCTTGTCCATGCGTGATGACGGGGGATACAACGGATACAATTGTCTTTCAACATGTCGAGACACCGAACGACGGTTGTCCATGTGCAAACTCATCATCAAAAAACGAGTCTTCAAAACGGGATCTCACGTTTAGCCTAGACACTCTTGTCCGTTCATCGTTGAGGAAATAGTGTACGTCGCGCGGGTTGGTTTCAGCAACAGACAGCAATGGGCTGCTGCAAAATCGCCGCGCGATTTCACCTGTTCCACTGGGTTCAAGCAATTTCGTTGTCGGGTAAGCTCGGCCAGAGATCAGACGTGACACGACCAGGCAACGGTCTTTCACGAGCTTTCTACGTTGGTTGAGGCTTAGCCTTTACATTCATTTCCCGGTGCAGTAGACAGACGGAGTCTGGTCAGGGATTAGCCGCTGAGGCAGTGTGGAGCGTGATCGTCTCTGGTACGATGGCAAGGCGATGAACAACTATGCTTACAAAGTCCATTGCACGAAGCCATGCGGCAGCCAACACATGGATGCGAGGCCTTATTACTTATGCCAGACTGACGGAACATGCAACCCCTTTGATAGCAATGTTGATTTTAAGTTTAGCAGCCCAGAGTCATCGTAGCCCCTCGCCACCCGCCTTCGTGAAGGAGACCGGCGTCTTCTGCAACAGGCCCGGCTGCATGAGGAGCCAGGTCTGATGTTCCATCCTGCTAACACCCGAGGGCCGTGACGAGAGAAGTCCCAAGCTAACGCAGCAACACCTTCCTGAAAGGCTCTTAAATCCAGACGGGCCGGACTGCGCCGACTGCTTGTAGAATTGCCTGTTCTCTGCCGAAGGAAGCAGCTGTGCAACCGATTCAATGTGCTAGATCGCCCGACCGCCATCGTATGATATCGTATGCAAGGGATGTTTCCTGCTTACCGGTACCCATGCGCTGAAGAGAACCGGCAAGCCCTCACGACGCTACCAGAAACCTTCGATTCCAAAGCCGACTTGAGGCACCCATTCGGCATAAGAGCACACAAAGCAAAGTCTTGGGTGCACCAAAAGCAAGCTTTTCGAAACCCTAAACCCTGAACCCTAAACCCTAAACCGGCTTTTCGAAACGAGGGAGAACATGCTCTGCGTGGATCTCGAGAAGACGGGTGACGCTCACCCCTTGGCCCATCGTGTGCGGCCAAAGGCAGCCAAGGACTCGCTAAGGGGAATTCACCTCTGCGACTTGCGGTTTTTGGAGCCAAAGAAGGCCGGTAAAATAGCTCCCTTCTGGTCAGTATGAGCGGATTTTGCAGCAAATGTCCGTTTGAAACGTTTTGGTATGCAGTGCTGAACGGCACTCTTTAAAAATCAGTCTGCACTTTTTTGCCGGAAAATACGAAAAAAGTCCATTTCGGCTGTACCGTTTGGGGGCTATGATTTGGGGTTTAGGTTCAGTGCTGTTGGGGTTTAGGGGTTTAGGGTCAAAGTGGATCGTGTGTGCGATCGTGCGTGTGTCTGTCTGTCTGTCTCTGTGTGTGTGTGTGTGCGCGTGTTAGTTTCGAGCAGGTCCCGCGAGTTTTTGTTGAGCAAGGTATGGAGGTGAGAGCTGAATCTCCGTATGCTCAGAACTTCAAGAGATTGCTCAAGTCCTGATGCAAAGAGTGCTCAAAGTGAGTTTGTAGCCCGGAGTGCTGCCTCACACGCCCTTCCTGGCAAGATGGCATGCAAACAAGGTTGAGCGTTAATATGATTGCTCATTTATGATGGAGTCCTCTGGGCCCGAACGTTTATGAGTCTATCTAACCATGTAACTATCCGTCTATCAAAATCGATCCATACGTCTATCCGTCTGTCGTCTTACCTATCTAAAAACCTACCTACCTGCCTGCCTGCCTGCCTGCCTACCTACCTACCTACCTATCTAACTACCTGACCTACCCACCTACCTATGATGCCTGCCTGCCTAACTACCTGTCTACCTTCCTACTTACCTATCCATCCATTCATCTATCTATTTGCCTACGTATCTATGTGTCTGTCACTGTCTGTCTGTCTGTCTGTCTGTCTGTCCGTCTATCCATCTTCCTATCCATCCATCCATCCATGCATCCAAGGATCCATCCGTACATCCGTCCATGCATCCATCTGTCTTTCTATCCATCCATCTATCCATCTATATATATATATACATACATCCATCGATCTGTCCGTTTATTTATCCGTCTGTCTATCTACCTATATCTGCCTACCTAGCCTGCCCACTTATTGATCATCTGTCTATCTACTTTTCTGCCCAAAGCAGGGTTAAGGAAAAGAATTCCCTTCTGTGAGCTCGCAGGAGAAGTTCTACTTCCGCTTCCTGGGCGGTCCACAGCGACTTGGCTGCGTGTCAGTACGGCGGTAGGAAGGTTTCAGGAGGGTTTGGGTTCGAATCCCCTGAGCAGGGCCCTAGCTGAATCTTAAACTCGCGCCCAAGGTTTTAGCCATGAATCTTTCAGGTCCTACTAGTAGGGAATGTTCTGAAGCGCTCAGAGGAGATCACCGCGCTCAAGAGTCAGGGATAATAGTGCGGGAACCAGCAGCTGTAATCTAAGAAAGACTTATCCTGCAAGAGGCGGTAGAGCATCTCGCAGGTTGTGTTCTAGCTTACTTTCGGCTGATTCTGGTAGCAGTCACCCTCTGCATTTGTCACTTTTGGAAGGCGGTGCCTTTGTCGCTGAATTCACTGCACCCTCGTTCCAAGCTACCTTCAGAGACCGGGACACTCATCTGGAGCCCGCAAGCACAATTTTATTGGGGTTCCGGGTTCCTAGAGTCGAAACTGCAGAGCCCAAAGCCCTGTGTCCTTCTTCTGATGGGTGGATCATGTTTGCACCGTCAAAGATGTGCGTGCGTTTTCGGTGCCCGTTGTACGGTGCTGGCCATGTCGTCACAGATCTTCTAGGCATGGTCTCAAGCCAGAAACAACCTTTGGCTACGTACGGAAAGGAATACATACAAATTCCGGAATTCAAGAGGTCCAGATGTCAGAGAATTCATGATATCGTGAGCTCGACACGATATGGGATTGTCAGAATTTGCTTGGCTTTCAGCCTGAGTTGCTGGATGCTGCTTGTGCGTGGATGCCATTCAGGATGCCAACATGTACTTCTGAGCCTTGAGCAGTGACAGTTGAAGATCTGTGCCTAGACGTCAGTGACCACACGGTAAGTAGAGCTAGCAGATGACAGGTCCTTTGGTGCCATTCGCGTGATAGTTCAACTGTTATTCCTCCCGGCCTTTGGAGCACTCCAGGGGTACATCTCACACATTACAGGTGACTGCAGTTCAAACCGGGTCTGTCATGGTTTAGGTTCGCATGATCTTTTTTTTGGGGGTGGGACTTCGTGAGGGACAAGCTCCCAGTCCGACAAGACTGGGTGCGAGTCGAAACCCCATATCCCTTTCGGCAGCATCTGCCCTAAACCCTAAAACCTACACCCTAAACCCCTAAACCCTAAACCCAGGACCCTAAACCCTAAACTCTCTTTTCAAACTCTTCAGGAACCGCCTTGCATGGGCCTTGGACCCGGAACACGGGAAGGCAGCGGACTTGGACTGGAGAAGGCATTAAGCTAAACCCAAGACCCCTAAACCCTCGAGGGTTTTCTGATATCATGGGCCGGGTCGGCGGTTCGGGGGTTTGGATTTCAGGGACTTTTGCGACATTTTGTTGGGGTTTAAGTTTTTCCTTGTAGCCTAAACGGTTTAGGGCTTAGGGCTTTTAAGATCCAGGGGTTCGATTGGAGCCTCTCGGGGCAAGTCTTGTCAGGGAGCTCTGGACCAGAGGTCCCGAGCTCCCTGGGAAGCTGAAACCTCCGTCCTGTTACCCGAGACCTTTCACGCTGCGACCCGTTGTTTAATCACAAACTCCCCGCACACCCTCGCCCGAAGCTGTATGCAAGAAACTCTAGCTCTATTTTTGTAAGTATATCTATCTATCTATCTATCTGTCTATCTATCTATCTATCTATCTATCTATATATCTATCTATATATATATATATAGAGATAGAAGACCTACTCAGCACCCAACAAGCCTCCAGTGCGGGGTTCTTCCGCACTCCGTCACTGCATAAGCCCAGCCTGGGGAGCTTGAACCATAAGAGTAGAGCTCTTATCATAGGGACTCTTGGCAAATGTTAAGAGACCCCTTGTATTGTAGTAAGAACCACAGATCTCATCTGCTCCAGGCTCGAACCGCGATTTGGCGGCTGCGGCGCTGCGTGGTGGGCCTGCAAATGGAGGATCCCAAGGCATTGGGGCCTCGAAGCCCCGAAGCGGCTTCGGGGGTTTGGGGTTTAGGGGGTTGAGGGGTGTAGGGTTCAGTCGCAATACGCCTTCAGATGCAAAAATTAGGGGGGGGGGGGTGGTAGGGGTTTTGAATTTTGGGTTTAAGAGTTTAAGGGTTTCGAGTTTAGGGTTTAACGTCCTGGGCTTCGAGCTTGGATGCAATCCAAACGGAGGGTGCCGTGTGCACGGAAGGGGCTTTGCAGGGTTGCTAAACTTCTAAAGGCGATGTGGGTTTCGGATAGGGTTGCATTAAGGACCATTTAGGCGACGAGATTCCCAAGCTGCCTCCAGAATC